TAAAGACCTGGATGGCCGCTAACTTTCTGCTTCTTAATTCAGATCAAACTGAGGTTATTGTACTCGGCCCTGAAAAGCTTAGAAATATGGTATCTAAGCAGATTCTTACTCTGGATGGCATTACCTTGGCCTCCAGTAACACTGTGAGGATTTTCACAGGTTTCTTCCTGTTAAAAGGGAGTTTTTCCTTCTCACTGTCACCAAGCTCCTGCTCATAGGTCATTTGATTATTGGGGTTTTGCTGTATTGTTGTAGGGTCTTTACCTTACAGTATGAAGCACCTGAAGGTGGTTGCTGTTGCGTTTTGGTTCTATATGAATAACATAATATTAAACAGAATTCATTAGAGCTGTTGAAGATGTTCCTGCAGCCTGTTCACACCTGTTCACAAGTGACACTGGCAACACGACTTCATCGGCTTTTGTTACTGACCTCATGTCCTCCTCTTCTTCTTCTGTTGTATCACACTACCACCCCTCCTCCTTTGTTTCTTTCAGGAGGTGCTGTTGAAGAGAGCAGCAGACCTGGTGGAGGCGCTCTACGGGATGCCTCATAATAACCAGGTAAGCTGCTCACCTGTCTACACACATCAGCTGACATCAGTGTGTTTACCTGTGCAGGTGACCCTGATTAACAGATTCTTGTTGATATATTCAATTCAATTTTATTTATATAGCGCCAAATCACAACAAAAGTCGCCTCAAGGCGCTTTATATTGTACAGTAGATCACACAATATTGAGTCTAAAGGCTGACCGGAGACGAGGTGTGCGCACGAGCTGTGGCTGCAAGTGCAACATACACGACGTCATGTGGCGTCGGCACACCGAGGACGCCGCTTCAGTTTGAATCCTTTTGAATCTTTGTGTCTTTGAGGAGGAACATGAGTAGAAAATAAAGAATGAGGCGACACAAATAGGAAGTGTTCACTGTTAAGTTAAACTCTCTGAACAAACTTAGTGAAACAAGCTGTGAGCATGTGTCTGTTAACCCAGGAAACAGTGCTTCAGATTTATTAGACAATTAAAAAAAAATGTAATCTGTCAAAACGTGTTTCAAACTAAGAATGATGTCATTATTTATTCATCAAACAACAAAATGAATTCATGTTTTTATACCCAAATAAGAGCCGGCACAGAATTGAATTCAACCACTCAAATGGATGAAGACAAACTGAACACTGAGAGCGAAACACAGCTGAAGTACCTCCACCTGTCCAGCAGAGCGCTACTGATCCACATTATCACGTCTGGTTTCAAAAACTCTGTGATGTCATCTTTTACTTACAGTCATTGTGTCTAAACCAGCGCACCGCCTTTTGCTCTGAGACGTCACCATGTTTTCACTTCAGTGGTTTGAGCAGCTTCAGCTTCATGGACATGAGTGGAAACAAACTGTCATAAGAGCTGCACGAGTCTGACTGAGAGAATATTTATGAACATTTTTACGCAGTTTTACTGGATTGGCCAATCACAGTAAGGACAGTCAGCGTAATCACAACCAATAATCATGTTTCACAGATTATTGATGACATCATCATCAGACTGTCTCACAGTTCAAACCGGAGCTTCTTTAATTTCACATGAAACTCATTAAACAGGACAGACTTCCTCCTCCCCCTCCTCACCACCTCCTTCAGGTTTAGGAGTCACAGCCTCCTGAAACACTGAAACACTGGCAGAGGAGGAGGAGGAGGAGGAGGAGGGAGCTCTTTATATCCCCCATCCTCCCCAACAGAGTCTCTCCGACACGCTTCTCAACCCACCAGTTAATCACACACACACACACACACACACACACACACACACACACACACACACACACACACACAGGTCTATTGAAATGAAAGTGTAACCTTGAACAGAGTGCAGAGCCTGTAAACAAATGTAAATCCAAATGTAGTGATAATAATAATAACTGTGTGTGTGTTTGTGTGTGTGTTATGTATGTGTAAACTGAACATGTGTGTTTGTGTGTGTGTTATGTATGTGTAAACTGAACATGTGTGTTTTTGGGGTCTTGAGCTGTTGAAGTATAACGAGCCGCTCTCAGGATCTTTAGCGCATGTCAGACAGACATCAGAGTGCCCCCTGCAGGCTGGTCAGTGAAGTATCGTGGATCGTTACCCTCAATTACACTGGAAAAAAAGACAAAGAAGAGAAAGATGGTGGCAGTAACAATATAATGACCTCAGTCTGATGAGATAAAATCAAAAATAAACTGACTGAAATCAGAAATCACAGAAAGACAATAAAGTGCCTTAGACTGAAAACTGCATGCTAGGGTTAGAAAACATGAACTCTGCTGTTTTTCACTATATTTCACTACCAGAAGGCAACACTGCAGGCATTGAGGGCAGCTGCAAGTACCTGGGGATCCCACAGAAAAAAGGGAACCATGAAGAGGTCGCTATGAAAGCTGCAACCACCAAGTACCTGCAGAGGGTCAGGCAAGTCCTGAGGAGTCAGCTGAATGGTAAGAACAAGATCCGGGCCATCAACACCTACGCCCTGCCCGTGATCAGGTACCCTGCTGGGGTAATAGGCTGGCCAAAGGAGGAGATAGAAGCCACTGACATAAAGACAAGAAAGCTCCTTACCATGCATGGAGGGTTTCACCCCAAGTCCAGTACCCTGAGGCTGTACGCTAAGCGGAAGGAAGGGGGCCGGGGACTGGTGAGTGTCAGCACCACAGTTCAGGATGAGACAACGAACATCCACGAATACATTGGGAAGATGGCCCCAACCAACCAAGTGCTCAGTGAATACCTCAGGCAGCAGAAACCCAAGAAAGAGGAGGGAGACGAGGAACCATCATGGAAGGACAGGCCCCTGCACGGTATGTACCACCGGCAGATAGAGGAGGTGGCTGATATCCAGAAATCCTACCAGTGGCTGGACAAAGCTGGACTGAAAGACAGCACAGAGGCACTAATCATGGCAGCACAAGAACAAGCTCTGAGCACAAGATCCATAGAGGCTGGGGTCTATCACACCAGGCAAGACCCCAGGTGCAGGCTGTGTAAAGATGCTCCAGAGACAATCCAGCACATAACAGCAGGGTGCAAGATGCTAGCAGGCAAGGCATACATGGAACGCCAACTGGCTGGCATAGTGTACAGGAACATCTGTGCTGAGTACGGCCTGGAAGTCCCGAGGTCAAAACGGGAGATGCCCCCTAGAGTGGTGGAGAATCACCGAGCTAAGATCCTGTGGGACTTCCAGATACAGATGGACAAAATGGTGGTGGCTAACCAACCGGACATAGTGGTGGTAGACAAACAGAAGAAGACGGCCGTAGTGATCGATGTAGCGGTTCCGAATGACAGCAATATCAGGAAGAAGGAACACGAGAAGCTGGAGAAATACCAAGGGCTCAGAGAAGAGCTCGAGAGGATGTGGAGGGTGAAGGTAACAGTGGTCCCCGTGGTAATCGGAGCACTAGGTGCAGTGACTCCCAAGCTAGGCGAGTGGCTCCAGCAGATCCCAGGAATAACATCGGAGATCTCTGTCCAGAAGAGCACAGTCCTGGGAACAGCTAAGATACTGCGCAGGACCCTCAAGCTCCCAGGCCTCTGGTAGAGGACCCGAGCTTGAAGGATAAACCGCCCGCAGGGGCGAGTGGGGGATTTAATATACCTTACATTATATCACAGGAATGTATTACAGGTGTTTAATTGTAATTTATCATTATCATCTGAAACAAAGTGACCACAACTCTCAATTAATCAGTCTTGCCTTTGGTGTTAATGCATGAGTTTTAATTTTAGGATGATAGCTTCTCCACATTTCCAGTATAGATGTTATGTGATTATGTTCCCTCCTGAGTCTCTGCAGCTGCATGAATCCAGATATTTAAATGCTCCTGTGTCTTTCCGCTCTGCAGGAGATCATCTTGAAGCGAGCAGCAGACATCGCTGAAGCGCTCTACAGCGTTCCCAGGAACCACAACCAGATCCCATCGCTGGGCAACACCGCCTCCCATGGCATGATGGGAGTCAACTCTTTTAGCGGGCAGCTCGCCGTCAACGTCTCTGAGACAACGCAAGGTATGAGCGGCCCGATAAATCCTGCAGGTGATGGGGGCAGAAGTGACATTAAAGGGGTGGCTGTGGTAACCCTGGTCACATGACACATTTTACGAGTACTCTACAGAGTCTACTACTAAGTCTACTAAGAAGGACTCTGGTGCACCGAGCGTTAGATTTGTGACCAGCTCAGAGCTGAATGTCACTTTGATGGACATGCGTGTCTTTGTCCTGTCTCCCTCCTCCCACCCAGATAGCTGCCTCTCCCCATCCCAAATAATGCCTTATGTTTCTTCCTGTTAAACAGAAGCTTTTCCTTCCCACTCTCACCAAGTGCTTGTTCAAAGTGGGTCTTCTGATTGTTTGGCTTTCTCTGTATTAATGTAGGGTATCTACCTTACAATATGAAGGACCTTATTTGGTGCTGCCTAAATAAAACTAAATTGAACGGACTGGAATAGAGGGATGAACAAAGAGTTAAACCATGAGAAGAACTGGAGTCTTCTGGATCATTCAGCAGTTCTGATTCAGCTCTAGTGTGCCCCTTTTCTGTGTTATAGGAACCACAAAAGGTTTGACATGTAGTCCAAGTTTTCTGTGAGATCCCAGCAGGAAGAATCTTTCACTGCAAATTCTCTTGTAGCCCCACCCACTGTCGTCAGCTTTGGGACCACACATTTCCAGACTCAGATTCACCAGCACTCTGTCACCAGATGAATTAAAAACATCAAGCGGCCTTTCTCTTATTTTAACTGCTCCACCTCCTGTTTGTCTTTACTACACTCTGTCTGCTGAACTCAAGTCCATACTCTAGGATCTGATTGGCTACTACTACTCAAAGTTCAGCAAGGATTGTTGATGGTCGCATTACTAGGATGTTGTGATATGAAAGACCAATCTCATATGAACGATTATGTGAACGATTTTCCAAATTCCACTCTTCCTGAGCATGTGTATGTGGGTGGTGTGGTGGTTTAGCACTGAATGCTTGTATGTCTCTCTGTGTTCGCCCTGTGATGGAAGGTGGACCTCTCCAGGGTGTACCCTGCCACTTGCCCAATTAAAGCAGGTGTAGGCTCCACCCCCCTCCAGCAGCTCCAAAGGATCTCCAGCAGAACTGGGATCAGCCCACCATCTGTTTCCTCTGCCTGTGAAACCAGGATGTTGCATTATCAGTTCTAAAGTGTTTAGGAGTTCAAATACTTGCTGAGAGGAACCTCCATGTACCGAAAGTTACATGCAGCCTCATCTAGCATAAAACTAGCTTACTGCACTTAGTAATACTGCAGTGTTACTAACACTGTACTCTCTTCCAGTCGGCTACAGTCGAAACACCAGCAGTGTGTCACCGCGAGGATATGTACCAAGCTCCACCCCCCAACAGAGTAACTATGGCAACACAGTCAGCAACAGCATGAATGGCTACGGCAACACAGGCATGCCAAACCTTGGGGTGGCAACATCACCCGGTTTCCTCAACGGGTCCTCAGCCAATTCACCCTACGGCAGTAAGTATCAAGGTAAATGTACTACAGTACTACACCCACTACTACTAATACTCCTAGCAGTGCTACTACAACCACTACAAGGAATACTACTCGTACTAATTACACTAATCCCTCTAGTGCTGGTCCTCTATCTTTGAACTTTGTAGTAATCAGGCCCCATCTTATCTTAATGACCTTGTAGTACCATATCACCCTATTAGAGCACTTCGCTCTCACACTGCAGGTCTACTTGTTGTTCCTAGAGTATTTAAAAGTAGAATGGGAGGCAGATTGATTGTTGTTTTTTCTCTGTATGTATTATTGTAAGGTCTACCTACAATACAAAGCGCCTTGAGGTGACTGTTGTTATGATTTGGCGCTGTGTAAATAAAACTGAATTGAATTGACTGGATAGTACATCATTCATGTAAGACAGAGCTAACCATGTTAACGGAGTGTAGTTTACTGTCCCATCACAGTTACTGGTTAAAATGGTTTCTGACCTGCTGTGTTCCAGTCGTTCCCTCCAGTCCCACCATGGCCGTCTCTAACTGTAACTCCTCGCATGGAGTTTTTTCCTTCTCGGCTGCCGTCAAACAGAAGAGCGCCTTTGCTCCCGTCGTTCGGCCGCCAGCTTCACCTCCTCCTCCACCCAACTGCTCCGCCAACAACGCCAATGGGCTGCAAGGTGAGACAGCAGCTCCTTGAGTCTACAAATTAAAACTCCTTCTTTCCGAAGTCAGTAGAAGTGTTAGGGACAGAAAGAATACTTCCCGGGACTGAAGACATACTTTGATCGTAGTATGATTGAACCTGTGACTAACAAAGCTTATGATTAAAACGAAATAGTACATTCATATTTTTATATTTTGTTTTCAAATTCCTTCATGTCTTTATGTCTTTATGCATGCTCAATCATCCAGGTAAGTAAATCTCTGGAGCGACGAAACGTTTCTCCCACTGAAAACGTTTAACGATTAACAGAATCAACTTTTGGGGATTCATGTCTTTAAACATGTAGATGTGGTGTAATTAAAGCGAGTGAGCCTCGAGAGTAACATGAAGCTGAACAGATGTTTGATTCAGTTTCATCTGCTCTTCTGTAAACAACCACATGTCTACAGACGAGTAAATGGAGTGAACACACACACACACAGACACACACGCTGGGTCGAGGTGGGTAACCCGAGTCCTGTTAGTATTGCATGAAGAGTGACAGGCCAATGCATGTTTTATTCACTACAACCCACAGATACATCCTCTAAACACACATGCCCACATGCATTAAACACACACACACACAGGAAGCACACACTCTGGCAGCCAGTGTGTGTGATGTCAGTGTTTCTGACAGAGAGGTTTGTCGAGTGTTAAATATTCATGTTGCTCTCCGCCTTCGCCGAGGCAGAAAGGCCACAGTGTGTGTGTGTGTGTGTGTGTGTGTGTGTGTGTGTGTGTGTGTGTGTGTGTGTGTGTGTGTGTGTGTGTGTGTGTGGATCCATTTGCAGGGTGATGAGTAAATACAGTTTGAATGTTATTAATAGTTGCAGCTGCAGCAGCCAGAAACTGAGCATGAAATCAGTGATTCACCTTCAAACGAGCACCTGAGAAACAATTTCATCCTGACATCATTTCAACGTGGTTTCTAATTATTATTATTATTGTTGTTGTTGCTGTTTTAAAATAATTTCATTTTGAAATCACTACTTGTGTTTTGTTTCTGTGAACATGTGCTTCATTTATCCCAGAACGTTTCAGTTTTTGTGAAGGAGTGAAGCGTCAGTCTATAGACATGTGTGTGTGCGTGCGTGCGTGCGTGTGTGTGTGTGTGCGTGCTTGTGTAATGAGCTGGTAAATTAAACTGCGGGCTGCTACATGCATTTTGTCGTTAACAGGAAGCTAATGAGGAATGATGTGTCATCATTTTCAGCTCAGATGTTTTTAAAAACTCATCAGATTCTTTAAGGTTTTATTCGAGTCACAACAGGGACAGGTGGGTGGAGTCAGTCTCTTCATCAACAAACCGTCCGTTTTGTTAACTGCTTATCCAACTTTAGATTATTTTGTATAAGACAAAGGAGGGCGGTGCACAGAATCAAAGAAGCAAAGCTCACCTGAAATCAGAGGAAGGAGGCATCTCAGGATTATTTAAACGTTGCGGATCAAGTCCGACTGTCCTGAGACATTCCGGTGTGGAGGAAGGAAAACTGTACAATAAATAAACAGTTCATCATCAGGGAAGCATCATGTGACCTTTCCCTTTAACACACTGGTGAGGTTACTGAGGTCTGTGAAGGTTTAGTGCTCAGGATGGACAGTGGGCCTTCTTCTTCTTCTCCTACAACAAAGAGAGCAGATTTAGAGCTGAGCTCGCCGTGAAACGGGATGTACGTGGGAGGATTTGTAGCCATGAATCACTCTGGATTGCACGGGATTTTGTCTCCCCGGGGCATTTCCACCATCCTGGAGTCAGCTCACATTCTTCTGAATCCTGTTGCGTGTCTCCATCAATAACAGGAAAAATATCTGACTCACAAACCAGGACGGCATCATCAAAACCATTTTGCCTGTCCAGGTGAAGTTTGACATGTGGCTACAAACCTGACTGACACAGCCAAGGCTTACGTTTCATTTTACTCTAAAGCATTCCTCATCTGAACGATGCAGCCCATCATCCTTCTGCTTTTACTGACACACACTTGCTCACTGTAGGCTTCCTGTGTGTGTGTGTCAGTGGTTGTCTTCTTCTACCGTGTGTCCTTTTATGAATACACGTCAGTGCCCTAATCCCCCCTCCTCTTCCTCTGCTCGTGTCACTGTCCTTGCTTCTGCCGTCCTCTCCTGTCTTCTTAAAATGTTTCACAGCTGAGGTGGAAAATGCAGCTCTGCTACATCCTGTAGTGTCACTGTAACGACTGTCGCTGCTGAAACCTGCGCTGGAGCATGTCGGAGGCTGTAACCAGAGCGCAACGAATAATTCAAACTCATGTGAGACAGAAAAGGTTCCTCTGGAAACACGTGGAGTGTTAAATCTGCTCAGTTTGAATGTGGAACGTGTTTTCGTACAGTGAGCAGAGGTTGATGGAGAGGTTCACAGGTCAGAGTGTAAAACTCTTCCTTCACAGCACTTTTGCTCTACATGACTCGTCCAACTGACCATTCACGCTTCGATGAACCGAGAGCAGCTGTGAGTTCAGTATCTTGCCCAAGGTCACTTTAACACACAGAGACTGAAGGAGCCAGGACTCAAACCACCAGCCTTCTGATTACTAGCCAACCTGCTCTACCCGCTGAGCTAGAGCCACCCCAGGCCAACAGTTCAACGAGATAGCAGCATAAAAGCAAACGCGCATAAGATTTCATCGTGCATGTCTCACGACTTCCTGAAAAGATTTAGAGATCAATTAAAACCGCCGCCTCCTCTGACTAACCGCAGGGCGCTCCTTTCAGACGTGCAGAGGCCAAGTGGAGACTGTCCTGTAGTCTGACCAATCAGAAACAGAGATTCTGTTGGGACATCATGGATGCTACGAGCTAAGCATGAGATTGATTGGTTATCAGCCTACAGGTCACAGCAGCATCCTGATGGTTTGGGGGGGAGGAAGGACCAAAACTGTAGGGTTAGGACAAACATCTGCAGACGATGAACAAACCTGGACTCCATTACTGAGCTGAATACAGGCCAGACCATCACTCACTGAAACATCTGGATTAAAAACATGGTGTGAGCAAAGCTTTATTCAAACATGAGCAAAGTACTGATATTTTTTTTCATCTAATTAATTCTGTTTTGTTGTGGAAGTTGTTTAAATAAAGTGCAAACGCTCAGCGAGTGGGTTTAATCACATGCTGCAGAGAGCGCTCTGGTCAAACGCCAAAGCGGCCTCTGAAGATGGGTGCTCACGTCTTATATATGACCTATACCTCCCAGCTCAGCTCATCCTTGAACCTTCCCCCCCAAGGAGAATTACGACCAGCCGTCACCTCTCTTACACGCAGTGCCTGGATGTCTCTGACCACATACAAGAATAGAATAGAATAGAATAGAATAGAATAGAATAGCTCTTTATTGTCATTGTTACAAAAACAATGAAAGGCAGTTTGGCATCTCTCCATGTGTGTAAAGTTCACAATAGCATAAGCATTTACCCATACAATGGCCCCGCTGTGAAGCTGTGATAAACACAAGGCCCACTTGTGATACTATCCTACATGCATACAACTACGTGATAAAGTGATGCTACTATTACTAAAGTGATATTGTCAAAACATGTGATCAATACATAGAATAAAGAAATTTCCACACCTGATGTTTGCTCTGCAGGTGTCACACCTGGCTGTCACTCAGTGACACACATCATTTCTGTTGTATGTTTATAATTAATGAATTCAAACCTCGTCTCTCTGCAGCCATGTCCGGCCTCGTCGTTCCTCCCATGTAGAAAACCTTCCTCCTCGTTCCTCACCTGTCTCCTCCCCCTCAGCCACGAGCACTAATCACCTCAGAGGAGGAGGGACCTGTGGCCTAAGGAGGCGGGGCCTCCGGCAGCAGCCAGTCGTCTGCGACTGGGCCGAGCCTCTAAGAAGAACCTGAGAAGGACTTTTTGTAGAGCAGCTTTCTGCGGGTGCTTTCAGCTGTCTGTAATTATTCTGATGTTATACTCTATGTTTGGGGGCGGGGTCATTCAATGTAAAAACTGTGATGTCACATCTAAGACTTGACTTCACTTAGTCTGCTTGTGATGTAATCTTAGTTGAAGAAATGGGAATCTAAAGAGGAGTGAGATTAAAGGCTTCAAATTACAGGACACAGTTATCAGTGTGTCTGTCATACCTAGCAATCGGGGTGCTAATGGTGCCCTTCATCAGCACCCTGATGAGGAGCAGACAATGAGTGACATGATAAACACCTCTGAAAGCACCTGAGTTCAGGTGAACCTCAGTGGGGGGAGGCAGAACACTCCCTGTTTTTTAAAATAATCCAGGACATCTCATCATCAAACCTTTGCCAACCTTTAGCCAAACTGAAGTGTCATATTTGAAGAACGTTTCAGAAAAGAGAGATGAACACAGAAGCAGCAGCACTGATTTTAGTTAGGCTGAAGGTTCGAGGGAGGTTCCTGTTATTTCTGCTGCTGCCAGACTCAGAACAGGGGGGACGAACAGGAAGCATAGCTATGAAAGGCTCCTTCCACTGAGAATTCACTAAAATCTGTTGCAGTATCCGGCGGCGTCCATGTTGCCATGAACAGTGTTTATTTTATCAGAAATTGCAGCAGGAATAATTTGAGGCCTTTAATCGTTTCAGTAACCTCAGCACATAAACTTCTGACCTCTGAAAGCACAACGATAAAACAATAAATGAAAAATATCAGTTTGTCCCTTGAAGTCCCGCCCTTCTTCTTTTAGCCCCGCCCTTGTACGTCTGTATTTTTTTTATGCTTGCGCTATTAAAAAAAAAAATCCTGCATCCTGATACGCTACTGTAACTGTCTGTCTTCTTGTTCAGAGTTGTCTTTCTAACCGTAGCTCCTCCCACAACCCCAAAGCTCCTCCCATTCATTCAAGCCCCGCCCCGTGTGTTTTTCTCTGTGGGTTTTGTGATTTTTGCCAAAGTTGTAGCTGGCTGAATATTTATACGTCACTGTGGTTGATCACGCTGCCCCGCCCGTCACCAAAATCACGAGGGAAACTCTTTTGTAACATACAGATTATAAATATGTATTTATATCTGAGATTGTTTTGTATAAATGTCAAATCATGTCGTCTTCATGGGGTTTTAGACATGTGTGTGTATGTGGTGTTGCCACACTGAAAAACAACCATCGTTTTGTATTAAAAAACAAAAATGAATGTCTTCACACATTTATAGTGCTGTCAATCAAAGCTGACGTCCAATCAGCTCCACTCGTTTGGTTTCAGTTGTTTTTAATGTAACTCTTGTTCAATGACTGTTTGGCTGTTTGGAAATGATTTCTTCACAGTGAATAAAGACAGCAGGTTGCTCTGATCGACTCCAGCACTTTCTTCAAATAAAAGACAAAAACAAGCCAGTCAAAGCTGAGCATGTCAAATAAAATCAACCAATCACTGCAACGTGCTTAAACCTAATATTCAAGGTCAGCCTCTCCACACAGTAAGATCTCATTATATCCAGGAGTAGTGATGCAGACTGAGCTGCAGAAATAAACCAGCCTGATGTAGCAGAGGAGAGAAGCACGTTCATGTTTATGAGGTCAGAGAAGAACAAATGTGCTTGTGCATAACACGATTGTTGGTGGCAGAAGAAGGAACGAAACCAGCTGTGTCCAGGATAGGTTTGGTCCCCTAACATACCACCATCCTGCCTCCAGCCTAAACAGGAGTCCTTATCCCCCTCGTCCATGTTTTCAACCGAGGTGTCCAACTCCAGGCGTCAAGGGCCACCGTCCTGCAGGTTTTAGAGCTCACACTGGGCCTACAAACCTGAGTCACATGATTAGTTCATTACCAGGCCTCTGGAGAACTTCAAGACATGTTGAGGAGGTCATTTAGCCATTTAAAGCAGCTGTGATGGATCAAGGACACATTTAAAACCTGCAGGACACCGGCCCTCGAGGCCCTTGAGGTCCCCTGGTTTAAACAGTCAGAGTCAGACAGGACATCTTTGTGCTGCTGTGGTAGGTTATCTGGCTTCTTTCACCTCCCTCTCTTTACCAGGTAAAAAGTGTTTAAGGAGCACCTGAGACCACAGGTAGGGTTGTTCTCTATCACCTCCTCTTAGGTGCAGACGATCACAGTCAGTGGTCTGTTAGTCTGGAATGCAGAAAAGATGATGATCCAAAGTTCAGCTCACTGTTCAACAGTGTTGGTCAAGTTACTTGAAAAAAGTAATCAGTAACTAATTACTGTTTACTTCCCAAAAAACGTAATCCCGTTACTTTACTGATTACTTATTTTCAAAAGTAATTAATTACTTAGTTACTTTTTAAAAACACGATGTACAACCTGAACAGGTGATAAAGTGATAGATCTTTCAGCCCAATTCTACTTTTTCTACATAATCCATCATACAAAATGTAATCAAATGGAAAAGTCTCTTTTTAAAACTTGTTTTATTAGTTTTAATCTTTTAACTTTATGCATCAAGCAAACATTTAATTATCTGCAACATTCTCTGACTGGAAGAAATTAGTTTAACATTTAAACCTATTTTCTGCACATTCCAGCTCATAAATTTTTTTTGTGTTTACACTCAGTCTTTCAAATAGATGCAAGTAAAACACAGCAGAAAATAAATAAAGTCAAAGACTCAGCGGTCCTGTTGCTCTATTTTCACCTGTAAAGCAGGACTAGGGTAGGCGGAGGTTTACCCTGGTGCAGGTGTGCCGCGGTCAGTGGAAGAATCCGCGAGTTTCTCTGTGAGTTTCCCATTACGTCGTAGCTACTCGGTGCTTGTTGGAAGTTTAGGGGTTTTTTCGCTGTAAAAAGAAGTTTTCTTCCCACGCACAGCGGACACTAATGTTTTTGTCACTTTTTATGGAATCAAACTCAAAGTAAGGTCAGTACTTCCACGCTTTAAACGCTGCACGCTCATACTCTCTCTGCACTCGATATATGATCCACTGTTGATCTGCACACAGCTGTTGTCACGAACGTCGCACTCGCTTACGTCACTGTCGTGAGACATTCTTGCAAAAAAATCACGGTTTTAGTAACGAAGTAACTCAGCGTTCCTACAGGAAAGTAACAGTAATCTAATTACCTTTTTTGCTTACTTTACTCATTACTCGAAAAAAGTAATCGGATTACCATTACTGCCCATCTCGGCTGTTCAGATTACCAAGTAGTACAGCTCCCTAAGATTCAGGTGAAGGTGATTATTCCTGAAGAGCAAAAGAGAGGTAAATCTGTCAAAACGCTGTAATGAACCAAGGCAACAAGTATCTTTAGTTTCAGCACCATAAAATGCTGACATCTTTTAGACATGTATGTGTTATTTATATTTTATCACAGTTTATTTCTGCCTGAATGAAGTCACAGAATGGTGGTACTTTTTAGATGGTACTACAGTTACATGTGCCCCAAAAAGGACTTATTTCGGGCAAGGGCACATCTGTGCGGCGGAGCGACCAGGAGAGGTAGTTGGGCAAGAAAGAGGTTCAGCTGGAGGAGACACACTGCAGACCTTCGCAGGTGGATAGCCATCAGGTATGCTGGTTGATAGCAGGTCAGGTGAGTGCCACACCCACAGATACACAGGAAGAAATAAGGACTGCAGGAGACTGCCAGTCAGTAAATGACTTTACAGCCAATTTTATATGAATCTGAGTTTATAATCTGAGATGAGAGATTACTACTCTAACCCTCATTTTTGGCTATAAGACGTTGTAACAAGCGGTATTACGGCATAGCACAGCTAGAGGAGGTCACTTCTCACTATTGTGGCAGGAGGACTTGTGTGGTCTTGCTGTAGGTAGACCTCCTGACTAGCCTCCAAGTTTTCCGGTTAACTTCCAAGTTGCACATCCGCTAAACCTGCTGGCTGCCCATACCTCACCAGACCTCTGTTACAACGTTTGGGAATGTCAAGTCTATTCTTTCTTTAGTTCCCTGCAGGAAGGAATCTTGGAAACGGAGTGAGGTAATTGTGGTATAGAATAGAATAGAATAGAATAGAATAGAATGGAATAGAATTCAACTTTACTGTCATTGCACACGTCACAAGGCAACGAAATGTAGTTTGCATCCATCCAGAAAGTGCTTTAGCTCTAATATAGATATATTACAGAAATGTGTCTGTTATAGGTGGGTACAAAATATGGGTCTATTATGGGTATGTTACAATGTACACGGTATGAGGGTATGTTATGAATATGCTATAAGTATGGACAGGCTGTAGCGAGTGTACATCTGCATAATAACAATAATTGATGTCAGTGGTTTGTTCAATATGGCAGGAGTACATGAATCTCAGATTTTGGAGGTTAATAACTCACCTGAAGCCGTTTTGTGTTAAACCAGCCTCACAAATACAGAGGATTCATCTTCAGCTCTGCTGTGCAGAAATGCTGCAGTTTCATGCATCTGCCTGTTTGTGCCTAACTGTACCTACAGCAATCCAACAACCTCCAGTTTAGCCTCTACAGTGTCACATGGGGTTGAGAACAGGCCCCATGGTTCAGGGTATCCCCAAGAAAAGTTCACTTTTTTCAAGATAAGGTAGCCTTCATTAGCTGGACAGTGGGAATATTCACATTATAGCAGCAAAATTAGAGGAGGCATATGTACACAATTTGTGTTAATGGAATCTTCCTGCTTAAAGTCTGTAGTCTGTAGTCCTGACAATCTTAAAACTGTCAGGTTTCATCTCACAGCGTTAAAGGAGTCTGATGGGTTTCTCGTATAGCCAGAGTGAGCGCTGTGTCTGTTTGCTCGTCACAGATTCAGACATGCTGCTTATGATCTTAAAGCAAAGGATCTAAATCAAGGACAGGATCTCCAGGCACAGCAAGGATGAGGGGAATAGTCTGGGAATACCAGACTCAAGTTTTTGCAGATGGCAAAGTTGGTTTACAAGAAAATCAACCCCTTGGTTTGTTCATAAGCTTTGGGTTGTTACCAAAACTACGAAGCAGATGGTAAATGGCCTGTATTTATATAGCGCTTTACTCGTCCCTAAGGACCCCAAAGCGCTTTACATATCCAGTCATCCACCCATTCACACACATGTGATGGCAAGCTACATTGGAGCCACAGCTGCCCTGGGGCGCACTGACAGAGGCGAGGCTGCCGGACACTGGTGCCACCGGGCCCTCTGACCACCACCAGTAGGCAACGGGTGAAGCGTCTCGCCCAAGGACACAATGATCGAGACTGTCCAAGCCGGGGCTCGAACCGGCAACCTTCCGATTACAAGGCGAACTCCCAACTCTTGAGCCACGATGGGATAGAGTCTGCAGGGTGGCTGGGTTTAACCTTTAAGGCAGGGCAAAGAAACTCCACATTCAGAGGGAGCTTGAAGTAGCTAGATGCCTCACATCAGACATGAGGTTGTAAAAACATCTGATCAGGATGAGCTCACCACTCTCCTACCTCCGGTTCTGAGCATGTACAGGTCAGAGGAGACTCCAGGGGTTGAGCAGATGCTGGTTGACAAGATAAAAGAGATCATCACTGAGTTTTAGAAGGAATGAGTTCATCTACCCCATCCTGAATTCTCCTGTAGAGACAGTCAGCAGTGTGTCCACCTCCACCTCAGTGACATGGACTCTAAATACTACCAGCATCTTCAAACAGAGGATGAACAGAGGTCACATTCAAAGGAGGAACTTTCCTGACCTTACAGGAAAAGCATTCATAATCATTGGAACCGAACTTCCCAAACATCTGAGAAGTCTCTGTCTCAGAGCCATTACCTCAGCCTCTCTGCACCAGCAGCACCTTCACCCACTCCATCCGCTCCAGAGACGGTTTCTTCCTACAACTAAACCACGTACATCACTGGAGTCTGCTGGATGGTTGTGTTTGCACGCCCACCACGCCTGTGGTAGAGCGTTTCTCTGTACTGTCTGTCGCTGTATTTGCCGTATTGATTCCTCTGCACCTCGTGCTGCATGTTACTTCGTTATAATCTCATTTCTGTGAATGCAGAGTCAGACCAGAGGAGCAGAAGCTGGTGAGTTTTTGGTTCGCCGTCACTCAGAGATCAGTGAGATCCTCCAATTATTATTTATTATTTTGAACTCATCCATCCTGTGATGCTGACTTTTTCTACAGCTGTCACTTTAACCATTTTCTTTCATGCAGAACAAGTCTGTGTCGTTAACAATGTAAATCATGTGACGCTGCCTCTCTTATCATTTGTTTTTTCATATCTTCTGCTGCTTTTCTCCTATTCTGTTAAAAAATGATAATTAAAATCTGTTTTTGGTGCTGAGGACAGAAACTAGAGGAAGCGATTAATGAACTTTTGTTAAACAGCTCTGTTCCCTCAGCGGTCACAAAAGCACAAACAGGATTGGATT